CATTGTCTTGTGGGGTTCCTCAGGGTTCTATTCTGTCTCCCATGCTGTTTAACATCTACATGAAGCCGCTGGGTGAGATCATCCGGAGTTTCGGGGTACGGTGTACGCAGATGATGTCCAACTCTGTCACTCCTTTCCACCTGCTACTAAGGAGGCTGTCGAGGTCCTGAACCGGTGCCTGGCTGCTGTGACGGTCTGGATGAGGGCGAACAAATTGAAGTTGAATCCAGACAAGACAGAGGTACTCCTGGTCAGTCGCAAGGCCGAACAGGGTATAGGGTTACAGCCTGTGTTGGATGGGGTCGCACTCCCTCTGAAGACTCAGGTTCGCAGCTTGGGTGTGACCCTGGATTCATCGCTGAGCCTGGAGCCCCAGGTCTCGGCGGTGACCAGGGGAGCATTTGCACAGCTCAGGCTCGTGCGCCAGCTGCGCCCGTACCTTGGGAAGTCTGACTTGGCCACGGTAGTCCACGCTCTTGTCACATCCCGCCTAGACTACTGCAACGCTCTCTACGTGGGGCTGCCCTGAAGACGGCCCGGAAGCTGCAACTAGTCCAACGCGCGGCAGCCATGATTCTAACAGGAGTGGAGCGCAGGGAGCACACAACCCCCCTGTTGCACCAGCTCCACTGGCTGCCGATTTGCTACCGGGCCCAATTCAAGGTGTTGGTACTGGCCTATAAAGCCCTAAACGGTTCCGGCCCAAGATACCTATCTGACCGCATCTCGGCCTATGAACCCACCCGAACTTTGAGATCTTCCGGGGAGGCCCTGCTCTCGATCCCGCCAGCCTCTCAAGCACGGTTGGCGGGGACGAGAGATAGGGCCTTCTCGGTGGTGGCTCCTCGGCTGTGGAACGCCCTTCCTGTAGATGTTAGGCTGGCACCATCTCTCATGACATTCCGTAGAAAGTTGAAGACCTGGATGTTTGTGCAGGCGTTTGAGTAATTCAGTGCAATTCTGGTAATTAGAACATAGGAATGGAACAATGACGTCGAATCTGGATGACGCTTGGATGATGAGGCGATCGGGGGTGGGTTTTGTGATTATGGTATATTGATGTTTGTCTATTAGCTAGTAATGGAAATGTGTAATTTAACTGTTGTGGTATATTAATTATTGCTGTTTTTATTGTCTTTGTTGTTTGTTGTCTGGAAACCGCTGTGAGTCGCCCTCGGGCTTGAGATACAGCGGTATACAAGAATAGTAAATAAATAAATAAATAAATAAATAAAACTCTCTAGCAAATAATGTTATATGCCCCTCCCTAAATTGCCAATTCCACAATCCCATCAGATGGGAACATAGCAGTTAAAGTGGAATCATTGTGCTATAATACTGTAGCATGAAAGGATCCCATGTCCTAACAATGGCCCCAGGAGAGCAAGTCCTGTGCCTCTACTGTGTATATAGCAATTCCCTCCGTATAGGCAGCTTGTTGCTGAAAGTGATGGTAATTAATCTGCCTTTCCATGTGGTTTGTTTTCTTTTTGGACTTCAGCCATTCAAGCTAGCAATCACACACCTGGAAACCCAACACTGAGGAAGGATAGTGGGAGAAATATAACTCTTCACCCTTACACTTTGCTACCAGCTTGCTTGTTCTCAACCTGTTCCATTTATTGAATCTTCTTAAAGTGACATGAATAGATACTGGGAGCTGCTCTCTAGATTTGACCCAGACATCTGTTATTTAGATTGCTTCTGCCTTCCTCTTATGCTTGAATACAGTGTCAGTGTTGTTCAAGACAGCAGCAAGCCATATTGCTGTTTCTTGACAGACTTTTTACAAACAGAAGACTTCCCACCCCACCACCCCCAATATGGTTTCCTGAAGAATCTCCTAAAACCTAGTTTTAGTTGGCATGAACTATTTCTAATGAGGACTTTAAGACATGTTATGTTACAGGGAAAAATCTGAAGTACTAAGCAACAGAATAAATAATATCATTTTCTGTAGATTCACTACTGAATGGTACAAACTAAATCATTTTTCAGGAGGATTTTTTCTTGTTTTTTCACCTTTGCATTTTTTCTAATTCCATGCATTCCAAGGTATACCAAATTTGTCTAGAATGTTGCACCTATAGCTATAACAATCTAATATTCCATTTATTTTCTGGTTGTACTAAGGACTGATAAAATTTAAGAGGTCACCTAGTTCTATGTACCTCACAAAACATGAACAAGATGATTTATTTGCATTTTATAGAAGGAATCTTTAGAACACAACTGATAAAACCCCATGGAAGCTGTTTCTCAATAACCACAGGATATGACTTGAGGGTATGGTACATCCAGGTGAGCATAGTCTCAAGCATAAATAATTATCATGGGAGCCAACAGTGTTTCTAACATCTCCTAGATGACACACATTATGAAGGATTCACCAGTTTCTAAAATGAGAAACTGGTTAGCTTTCCATTTTACCATCCAGCCTCTCTCTTACCAATGATCCAGCACATTATTTTCTTTTCACTTTGAATCTTTGCTGCTTCCTATTTTGTTGTTGTCTTGCATTTATCTCCTTTTTCTAGACTTTTTATTCCATCCTCTTCCAGTTTTTTTTACCTTGACATCCTGCATTCTCCCTCTCCTTTTGTATTTTCCTTTGATCTTGAATTACCTCTTCATTTACTTTATCAATCTGTTCTTACAATTATCTCCTGACTCTACCTGCCCATTTCGCTGGCCCTTTTCTTCAGCCTTCAAATTTTTCTTCAATCACTGGAACACAAACCAAGAGCTTTGCAAGCATCAGACAATATATTGATAAACAGAAGGGACTGATTGACCACTGAAATGACAAAAGCAGTCACTGTACTGTATATTGCCCATCATGTCATGATTTCCAGCATTGTATAGCCAAAAGATAACCAGAATCTATGGAGAACTGTGTCTTCCTCAATCTCAAGGGTACATGTTCTTGATATTCAGCACATTGTCTTCATTGGATTGCATTTCATCAGTTCTGCAACTTAGTCCACTATTCACAATTGTGAAGCAATGCCCAGGAGAGCAAGAAAAAATAAGCCAAACTAGACAAATAATGGAAGTGATAAAGACTGAATGAACTATGAACTTCCTATTTTCTTCTGTATTTAAAAATCTAGACATTAAATTAGATTTGGGGGGGGCAGGGATGACAATGCTCAGACAATGCCCAGACAAAACTTAAGGAGACAAGTCAAAGGAATTATGAATAGATTATGCAATTCTCTGGCACACTCACAAAGTAAGCTTTAAATGATGTCCTTAGCTTTTTATACAATACTCCAGACTAAGACATTTCAGGAAAACCATTTGCAAATATCTAATCATAAAGGAAATTAACAAAGTCGCCTAATGAACAAGATGAACCATACAACTATTCTACTGGTACAGATAAAATAGTACGAGAAACTACTTTTACATTATTGATATCAATCAAAAGACCAATAAGTGGTACTCTTAATATTTATTTATTTATTTATTTCATATCAAAAGCATTGCATAAATTAGTATAAAACTGATAAAAATAGAGGGAGCACAAGTGGCTAAATATCTTTTGACTAAAAACGGGCAACAGCAACTGTTTTGACTGTAGGCTCAAATAATTCTTCCTCTGTACATGAGGCAGGACATTGTGGACAAGCATACAAATGCAGAGTTGTCTATTCTGCTCCACAGTCACACAAGGTGGAGGATTCTTTTAGGTAGTGCCATTTTGCCAGGGTGTCTTTTGATCTGCCAACTCCACTTCTGAGTCTGTATAGGGACTTGCAAGTTTCCCATTCTTGGTTTGCTCCTGGAGGCAGATCCTCATGGTGGGGAGTATCCAATTGGGATTTCTTGGTTTAGCTGACCATATTAAGCTGCTAAATATTAAGAGCATATTTAGAAGCTCTTAATATGGACAGACTGGACAAGAAAGATAATTCTAATGTGCCAGCAAAAACATGTAACTCTGACACGTATAATTCTTCCATGCCTTCTGACCCACTGCCACATTATTGAATTTTCTGATGATACTAAAAGACTGGCATTTGCTGTGATGATTTTGAGTTTCCTCCCTCTCTCCATCTGCAATGTAACTTTTAAAATTGATTCTGCATCTTTCATTGTGCTTTTAAAAATATGCTTTTCTAAATAAACAACTGTTGATGTCAGCTGGTGCAAACACTCAGTTTTAGAGCTGAAAAATGCTGCAAAATCACTGCATGCATACACAAAGATTTATCAATGTAATTTATTCTGAATTTATTAGTGAAGGAAAGTGAAGGAAATATTCTGTAGAGTCTTTAATCAATGAAAATTATTTTTATGTACCACTGTTCTGTATGATGCAGCTCTAGTAGCAGAGAGGTGAATCAGGTTGTTCTCATTTCAATAAGCACATTTAAATATGCATGTGCATAACAACTGAAAGTGATATTGCCTTGAACACATGTATGTTTAAAATTATTGAGGTTTAAATGAACATGAGGGCAGAACTTCATACCTTCACAGCTACAACTTTTTCTTTAAATATGAAATATGAGAATACTAGGATAATTTTTCTGCCCATTCAAGATTTCTGTCCTTGCTGACTGTGACCCTGCTGAGTGTGACTCATGGTCAGAAAACACTGTTCTGATCATGCTCATATTTCTAAATCATTCATTCCCAAGGTGCAGAGCACCAAACCATTTTCTGTTGAACATGGTTTTCTTTTGTCAGCTCATAACTCATGTGACTTTGAAACTTGGCATTCATTTGTCTCTTTTGCCAGCTCGGGTAGTACCACTTGGAGAAAGATGGTGCCCTGTTTGTTTTGAAGAAGATAAGCAGATAGAAGCCAAGCTCTCCCCCCCCCCCCCGCCCACCTACCCTACTGCCCCCTGGGAGAGAAGCTGTTAATATGGAATAGCTGTGGGTAAGGAAGTGGGTGGTGGATAAAGCAAACATATTATAATTACTGKAGGCAGGAAAAGCAAACATATTCTTTTTTAGTGTGCAAGATGTAGAATGTAATGGGTCACCTTGCAGCCGCAGTGGTGATTATTTTTAGACTGCTGGGATTACGGATCAGCTTGTCCAAGATGCTGACAATCTGCTCAAACTTCGGTCTGTTGTTTCTGTCTTTTTGCCAACAGTCCAGCATCAACTGATACAAAGCAGCTGGGCAGTCCATGGGAGGTGGCAAGCGATATCCTTCCTCCACGGCTTTAATTACCTGCACAAGGAGAAGAGATTGGCAAAGCTGAAGGACATTCAGTGAACTTCTCCCTTCTTGCGTTGCACAAGTCATAACCATTACATTATCGTGGATGATCCATGTTTAAACAAATGTATTCATTCTCTAAGTGCTCTGAAGGGCACATCTTCCTTTTTATCAAAGAGAGATGTGGAAAGAGTCACAAGAACATTGAGTAATGAATACTTATCTGTAGAACCTCATATTCAACCTTGAATGCTGCTCAAATCAGATTAGATCAAATACAAGTCAATTTAATGCAGCTCCTACAATACATACTTTAATTTCCCCAATGAGAAAACATCTGGATCATCACTGTGCATTCAACCCCACCCCCTTTCTTAACAGTTTACAGAAATTGCTATTGGAGACACACAGAAGAATTGCTATGTGAGATATTCTAGGTTAATATTGTTTACAAAAACTAGCAGCAGCTCCTCAGTGATTTAGACACAAGAGATGCCAGGGACTGGACCTAAGACCTGAGCAAATCCTGTGTCACGCTATCACTAATTTATGGCTCTTTTTTGAATAATTGATGGTATATGATAAATCATAATGCTAATATTGAATATTTTATTTGAAATATAACATATTTCACAAGAAAAAGAGACACCAAGAGTAATGTTTTATATGTACATACCAAAAATCAGAGCCTCACTATAAACATTTCTATTAAATGATTCACAGAAAGAGGGCAGTATTCAGTAGCTTAACATAGCTAATAATCCCTGTCCCTTTTGCAAGAAGGTGGGGCAGTCGGTTTTGAAAGACAAGTTTACATTGGAATGTGTGCAATACAGAAATATTCCTAAATCCTAAACTCTTTAGTTATACCAAAAGTATAACTCATTCCATGGAATCAGCTGCATGTTCCCTTAGATATATGACTGCTGACAGATGAGTTAAGGACCTAACAATTACATGGTGAAGCAATAAGGTTAGATTACCAGTAATTGCCACAGCAAGCATATTTGTAGTCATGTTGGGTTTTGGGCTGGAAAGGTTGTGGCTGTGTGGTTTCTTTGTGTGAAATCAAGTGGATTTTGGGTTTCTTACAGTTCTCTTGGGAAAATTACTGAAATGGGCAGCTTGAATGAAAACAGATATTAGTAGATACTAAACAGCTATTTTCCTTAATGTTTGATTTCTGATGAAGAATGATGATAAAAGTAATACATTGTTAGATAATATAATTAATTTGTTCATTTTAGACACAACAGCTTTCTACCGTTGACCAATATTTAAGAGGTTGGAAATGAAGGCATCCTGCAAATACCTTCTCTCTTTTCACAGATCAAGATCATAGATACCAAATTGAAGATGTCTAGCATGCAGTCCTGGGGCTGCACGTGGTTGTCAAAGGGCTGTTTTTGTGACATTCATTCATACTCTCCTAGGTACCATTTTTCTACTGAAAGAAATGGGGAGAACTGCTTCTTCAAGAAGCCTCTAGGAGTGGCAATTTACCTTTCAAATTTGTTTAAGCTCCTTTCTACTGTTTAAAATTTGAATTGCTGTTTTTTTCCCCAAAAAACCAGTGTTGTCTTCCATTTGGCTTGGTTTTCTTTTTTTCTTTTTTCTTTTCTAAGCATTTTCAGCAGTTAATGTGGCCCACTAGATATAAAACTGGCTCCTGGGCCCACTACAGGTGCCCAGCCCTATGCTCCAATAAGACACCGCATGTGCCAACCACCAATAGAACCAGGATTACCTTAGTTAGGTTTTATATAATGGCTTCAAACTCTCTTTTGAAGCTAACAATGCTTAATGTTGACATTGACACCAGATATAATACCATGGTTAATGTCAGAAAAAAGAAGCTCTTATGTTACCCACAATTTAAAGATTAGGAAACTTAATATCTGCATCATCCCAATAAATACATCACTGCAATCTCTTTAAAACAATGTGATAACATACTGCATTATACTGTGTTAACAATAAGGAGTTGGCTCCTGCTAAACTTTGTAGATGGGAGCACATTTTCTGCAATTATATTTGCAAATTTAACAAAAAGTGTCTAGCACCATTTAATCTTAAACATATATTTTTCTAGCACATAAAATCTAACAATACATTTATTCTCATTTGAAGTACATGGAATTGGTTCTTGTGGAATAAATCTGAATGAAAACAGATAAATAATATGGTACATTTTAAAGAGGAACTGTGGGCAATATTCTTTTTAAAAGCATAAAAGAACAGCAGACATGTTTAAATTACTGGCAGTACATTTACAGCAATGCATTTAAAACTATCTAAACTAGCATCTGAGTAAGACTTATAAACAAATCAAACAGTCACTTTGTGTTATGTGTTCACTGCCTTCAAAGTAATTTGCCTCATTAAAATCTTTAATATAAATGATTTTTTCTCATTCTAGGAACTTCACTTCTAACTGGCGAGTACTCATATAACAGCTCACTAGAAATACAACATCCTCCCCCCATGAGAAGAAATTGAATAAGGTCCTCTCAAAGTTATTGCAAATTCTCCTGAATATAAAAGCATGTGGGTTTTCTTCTTGGGTTTGTCTGAGCCATCTTTCATCTTGTATCAAGTCCAATACTGTGCTCTCTTTGTTTATTTTACTGAAGGGCACAAGGCATTTTTTGCAAGTAGTGGCATACTTGTATATTCCCCTTATAGATTGACAGTGTGCATCCATTTTGCTCCTCACTCAACTCAAAAAAAGAAAAAGAAAAAAGGACAAGTGTATGTTATTATACTATGTTTCCTGTCACAGCTTGAGAGTGTAACTCAAGATACTCACATCCTGATTTGACATTTCCCAATATGGTCTCTCTCCATAGGACATCACCTCCCAAAGAACAATCCCATAGCTCCATGCGTCACTAGCAGATGTGAATTTGCGGTATGCAATGGCTTCTGGAGATGTCCACCGGATCGGAATCTTACCTCCCTACAAGCAGAAAGCATCAAATATCAAAGTAATGATTTATACTAAAAGTCTTTCGGAATATATTCAATTCTTTACACTATGAAACTTCAAAACACTGCTGTCCCTTGGAAAGTGAATGACACTCCTACTTCAAAGCAAAGTTCTGTGAAACTACTATGCTAGCCTCAGTATTTAGAGATTATTCAAACATTTCAATATTTCTATATTGGCATTGCTTCCCATTTAGAAAAAAAGTCTTGCCTATTGTGCACACACAAAATATGTGACAAATACCACAGTTAAAAGTGTCTATCCAGCTTTTATTCTTGTGGCTCAGGACTTGACAGGATGGTTAAAGTGCATTAAGAATTGACTGAGGAGTGATAAACTATCCTGAGTATGTTTGAACAGCAGCAGAAAGATTAAAATTGCTGTCATTAGCCCAAAATAATCTAACGGAGAACTCGTCATGCTATATCTGACATCTCTCCTTCATAATACTAATGCAGGGATCACCAAACTCACCCTTGTTGTGTAAGCAGCTTCTGGATCATCTTCTAGAACACGGGAAAGGCCAAAGTCAGAGACCTTGCATACCAGGTTGCTATTGATGAGAATGTTGCGGGCAGCCAGGTCACGGTGGACATAACCCATATCTGACAAATACTTCATGCCAGATGCAATTCCTCGGAGCATTCCCACTAACTGGATGACGGTGAACTGAGCATCATGTTTCTGTAAAACATTTACAACAATTTCTCATCCCCTCAGCACACGCAAGGTTCATATCCTCAAGCATTCTATGAAAGTCAGTTTGAACTAAGTGAAAATACTCTGCCAAAACACACCATTTAAAGTAAAAAATAAAACTGTCCTAAACATTGCCAAATGCATGGGTAATTTCATTTGTCCCTTTAAAAAATGTATACTGTATAAACAAGAGCAAATAACATTTTTCGCCTCTTAACCAACTCTTTTTTTATCCACAGCAGAATGTGAATGACATAGTTATTGAGGCTGCTGACCTTGTTCCTGAAAACCATTACACTCTAATTTTTGCTTGGTAAAATGGATATACTGAAAGACTGTGGGTTACTTATATAATAGATTCAGACTGACACTCTATCTAAAAAGGATTTGTGACTTTATTTTTAAAATTGAATGAAAAGTAACATCCTTTTGTCAAATACAGCACATGCATATTGTTCCTTCTAGGGATGGAAAAAGAAAAAAATGGGTTGCCAGACACATAGGGTAACCTGGTCAGAAACAATAACATTACAGTGGTGAGCACTTTGTATAGTAGGTTCTTGTGGGTTTTTTCGGGCTATAGAGCCATGTTCTAGAGTATAGTTTTGTATAGTTTTCACCCAGTATTTGCACACCTAAGGTATTGTGAAAAATGATTTTGTGCAGGCACACCTCAGAACTGTAGAATTTTGCATACAAAAAACCCATATCGCCTAATATCATTCTTTAGTATTTATGAAATCTTAAGCTAGATTTATGATCTTGTAACTTTGAGATTCAGTGACCAATGTCCCCCTGAAACCTACCTTTTCAGCCAGCATCTCCCCAAACAAAGGATTCCTGAGGTGCCACAGATCAGGGCACTAGGAAATGAAAGATGTAGTGCTATCCTGGTTGAGGAATGCATTGAGACAAGAAGTCATGGAAGCACCTTGAGGACTCTTTTCCATTGACCATCAACTAGGGCACCAATATGCCATATGACTAGTTGTAATAATTTCCCAGTGCCCTGACCTACAGTGCAGTAGAAGCCATATACTTTGCTTTTCTGAGAAAAACGGTAAAACTATTTATTTATTTATTTGCTATACTTGTATACCGCTGCTTCTCAGCCTAGCCGGCGACTCAGCACGGTTTACAACAAACTATAACAATCGGCAATATACAGTTTAAAAGCATAAAAAACATAATACACAATACATATATCAATACATATAAAACTAATGAGGGAAATTATCCCCACTGTTAATTGGACTATTTATGTCAATTGTGCAATATATGTACACAATCAAACCAGGAAAATGATAGCTGTGGTTTTATCACAATAGAGTACACATAAACAAAATGAACGTAAGTTTGAGGATCTGTTCTTTGTATTGTGAATGCATGGTTATGTTATATTCAATTTCTGGTGAATTTATTTCTATGTTCCCTTTTCTATATCCTCTTTAACTTAAATCTAACATGCATAGTCCCTGCATGGGTCAGTGTACTCTACAGAGTGAATTTAACCATGCACAGTCCATCAGGCTATAGGGGAACTAGGGAGGAGTATCAGCTTGAATTTCTTTTCAACTATCACCCATTGACCTTCTTGGATTAAGACTTTACCCAGCTGTCTTTATTACAGCCCTTACTGATGTTAAACTAGAAAGAACACAGCAGCACTGCTATAAATAAAACAGTGCTCAAGCTTTTTTTTTTTTGACACCAGACAAATCATTTTATATTCTCCCAGCACTTTGAAATCATGGTAGTATTTTCAACCCTGTGGATAATGTTTAAATTATCAATAGTATAGGCTCTGCTTTTATGGAGCTGGGATAGAAAAGACCTCTCTAAACTCTCCATGATCTGGTTATGCAGTTGAAACTGATATTTACACTGTGTTAGTGTTTCTCAGTTCTTGACTTTATGGTTTTAATGTTTTCAGGTATTTGTACATTGTCTCCATTGACTCGGTTTTCAAAGGCTATATGATTAGGATTTTAAGGTGTGAGTAAAGTCTAATGCTGTTGTTTAATTTCTTAATTAAGTGTGTGTTTATTGTTTTTAACTCATTGTTAAAAGCCCCCGGTGGCGCAGTGGGTTAAACCCCTGTGCCGGCAGGACTGAAGACCGACAGGTCGCAGGTTCGAATCCGGGGAGAGGTGGATGAGCTCCCTCTATCAGCTCCAGCTCTACATGCGGGGACATGAGAGAAGCCTCCCAAAAGGATGATAAAAACATCAAATCATCCGGGCATCCCCTGGGCAACGTCCTTGCAGACGGCCAATTCTCTCACACCATAAGCGACTTGCAGTTTCTCAAGTCGCTCCTGACACGACAAAACAACAACAACTCATTGTTAGTGGTCTCAAGTCCCTATATTAGGAAAAGCATGGGATAAATAAATAGATAAATAAATAAATATTAAATACTAAATACTAAATAACAGGTCCTGAACCGGTGCTTGGCAGCTGTGACAGTCAATCAGGATGAGGGTGAAAAAATTGAAATTGAATCAAGACAAGACAGAGGTACTCCTGGTCAATTGCAAGGCCAAACAAGGTATGGGGTTACAGACGGTGTTGGACAGGGTTACACTCACCCTGAAGACACAGGTTCACAGCTTGGGAGTTCCCCTGAACTCATCACTGAGCCTAGAACCCCAAGTTTCAGCAGTGGCCAGGGGAGCATTTGCACAATTAAAACTTTGCGCCAGTTGCACCCATACCATGGGAAGTCATACTTGGTCATGGTAGTCCATGCTCTGGTTACATCCCGAATAGACTACTGCAATGCGCTCTACATGGGGTTGCCTTTGAAGACTGTTCTGAAGCTTCAAGTGGTCCAACAGGCAGCAGCCAGATTGCTCACCGGAGTAGTGTACAAGGAGAATACAACCCTCCTGTTATGTCAGCTCTACTGGCTGCCAGTTTGCTACCGAGAACAATTCAAAGTACTGGCTTTAGGCTATAAAGCCCTAATCAGTTCTGGCCCAGATTACCTGTTGAAATGCATCTCCCCCATGAACCACCTTGGAGATTAGGTCCATCTGGAGAGGCCTTGCTCTCAGTATTGCCTCCTTCGCAGGCACGATTGGTGGGGGTGAGAGACAGGGCCTTCTCAGTGGTGGCCTCTTGGCTGTGGAACTCCCTCCCCAGTGATATTAGATCATCCCCCTCTCTCCTGACTTTTGGAAAGAAAGTGACTATGTGGCTTTGGTATCAAGCTTTCAGAGAATAATTGCAGTGCAATAGATGGATATGGAATATGTACAATGACTACTGGAATGGCCCCGAATTACAATTGTGGATCTTGTGGTTTCAACAGTGAATTGAATGTTTTTAAATGTTTTAATGTGCATTAATTTTAATTTTAATGTTTATTTTAATTATATGTTGTTTTAAGGCATTGAATAGTTGCCTATGTGTAACACAGCCTAGAGTTCCCTTCTGGGTTGAGAAGGGCAGGGTATAAATATGGTAAATAAATAAATAAAAACTCTGAGGTTGCAATCCTATGTACACTTACCTGGAAGTAATCTAAATTAAGCATTCTATAATTTACCCCTGAATAAAATTGTATAGACTTGTAGATTTTATAAATATATGCTAAAAAGGCATAAAAGAAACAGTCAACATTAGGATATCAACAGGGGACTTACCCTCAGGAAGCTATCCAAAGAGCCATTTTCCATGTACTCAGTAACTATCATAACAGGTTTACCTAGAAACATATTAAATGCAGGCAATCAGCACCATATAAACAGATATGTGATTCTTGAAAAGTCATTCAAACTAGACACATGTATGGCAGATATAATCAGGGCATGATTTCTTATTCATGAACTCTTTGGAAAAGAGAAAATTGGCATGTAATGTCAAATGGTAGAAGCATGGCAAAATTATTACATGCCAGATTGGGAATGGACAGAATATTCAAAGATATTTAGAAAATGTTTGAAACATATGGCAAAAATTCTGGACTGATGAAAATCTGACAATAATCTTTACATTTTGAGACTTATTCTGCTTAAAATTTTCAAATCGCAATCTTCACAAAATCTACATTTTTATGCATGAAAAATATTAGAATGCAGAAATATTGATCCCTGTGAAGAAAAGGCTGCAAGTGGGATTTATTATTTGTAAATTTTTCATGAGAGTGGTTGCTATAAAATAGTATTTTCTCTATGCTGGATACATAGGGTTTTTCTTCTTTATTCGAATCCCGAGCCCCACATTTAAGAGCTATGTAGAGCTTGCTCTGATGGACAGATACACATTAAGACTTAGGAACAGGGTCTTTCTGAGTCTATGCTCAGTTCAAAAATATGTGATCAATACAAAATCCATGCTCACAAATCCTGCACATAAATCATGCTTGATTTTTTTTAAACCCTAAAACAATTGTGTGTCGTTTTTTCCTCAAAAAATGTAATTTAGTGTGTAGGATGCTTACTAGACAGATTATACTCAGCACTTTATCCCCAGCCCTGGCACTATACTCCGCTTTTTGCACAAGTCCATGCCCAGCCCTCTCTAATTCTAATCATGCCCACCATATTCCTGATTACTGGTTGTTAAGGTTTGCTTTTCATACATTTTAATTATGTTTTTATACCCTGCTGTTTTTAATTGTTTAATCGGACTGCTATATGTTATTATGTTTTAAACTGTGTTTTAGTGGTAATCTCTGCTGTTTCCTCTGAGCTTGATCCCGCATGTAAGCCACCCTGGGTCCCTTCGGGAAAATGGTGGCAGAATATAAAAATAAAGTTGTTGTTGTTGTTGTTATTATTATTATTATTATTATTATTATTTGAAAAACAACAAGATGAATCCACAGCAAACAAGGTCACTCTGCTGGCTGTCGTACTGGATCACACGTTGGACACTTCCCAAGTATCTAGGACTGTGTGATGTATCGGTGAATAATGAAAGCAGATCCCAGTAAGGTGGCCTTTTGCAGCTGTTGTTGTTCATTCGTTCAGTCGTCTCCGACTCTCGTGACCTCATGGATCAGCCCACGCCAGAGCTCCCTGTCGGCCGTCACCACCCCCAGCTCCTTCAAGGTCAGTCCAGTCACTTCAAGGATGCCATCCATCCATCTTGTCCTTGGTCGGCCCCTCTTCCTTTTACCTTAACTTTCCCCAGCATAATTGTCTTCTCTAGGCTTTGCTGTCTCCTCATGATGTGGCCAAAGTACTTCAACTTTGTCTCTAGTATCCTTCCCTCCAATGAGCAGTCGGGCTTTATTTCCTGGAGGATGGACTGGTTGGATCTTCTTGCAGTCCAAGGCACTCTCAGAACTTTCCTCCAACACCACAGCTCAAAAGCATTGATCTTCCTTCGCTCAGCCTTCCTAAGGTCCAGCTCTCACATCCGTAGGTTACTACAGGGAATACCATGGCTTTGACTAGGCGGATCTTTGTTGCCAGTCTGATGTCTCTACTCTTTACTATTTTATCGAGATTGGATATTGTGCTCCTCCCAAGAAGTAAGCGTCTTCTGATTTCCTGGCCACAGTCTGCATCTGCAGTAATCTTTGCACCTAGAAATACAAAGTCTGTCACGGCCTCCACATTTTCTCCCTCTATTTTCCAGTTGTCAATCATTCTTGTTGCCATAATCTTGGTTTTTTTGATGTTTAGCTGCAACCCAGCTTTTGCGCTTTCTTCTTTCACCTTGATTAGAAGGCTCCTCAGCTCCTCCTCGCTTTCGGCCATCAGAGTGGTGTCATCTGCATATCTGAGGTTGTTAATATTTCTTCCAGCCGATTGTTTTAAGTGCAGGCCAAGGTCTTTAGGCACTGCACCCAGTGTGCCGATCACCACTGGGACCACCTTTGATTCGCTGGACACAACTCCCTCTCCTGCTTCTCTGGTTCAAATCCTCATATCATGTCATCTTTTCCAGTTGTTTCTCTTCAATCCTTCTATTCAATTTATTATTATTATTATTATTATTATTATTATTATTATTATTATTATTAGACAACTAGAGGTGTCAGTAATGCCAGACAATATCCTGCAAATGACCCAGAAATCTACTCAAAGATCTGTATTTATCTTCTCTTTATCATTACTTTACTACAGAAATAGGTAGGCTCATGGGAAGCCACAATCCTCACACCATCCCCAGCTCAGCACTATATGCCCACTGATGCACTTTATCTCATCCTTCAATGATATTCACCCCATTGCTTTTCCCAACTGATATCCCCCCACCAGGCACACTACCCTATTCATCCATCTCACCCAGGGTTTTTATATTTTTATATTTATATTTTAATTCTACCCTTTTAATGTGGCCCAGCCCGCTGTGTACATTTTTTATTATTTTATTTCATTTCCTGTATTTGATGTTGTATTAATTTGCTTTGTTTATATTTCATTTGATATTATTTGCTGTATGTATTTTCATTTGATTTGTTGTAATTGTTGGGCTCGGCCTCATGTTAGCCACCCCAAGTCCCCGTTGGGGAGATGCTGGCAGGGTATAAATAAAGTATTACTATTACTATTATTATTATTATTATTTATTAAGCTGCCTCATACATAGTCTGACAGATGTCCAATCTATACCAGAATTGTCAACTCTGATTGGCAATGGCTTTTCGGGTTTTCAGGGAGGATTCTTTCTTAGGTCTACTTGTGTTGGCACCTTGAAGAATCTGACAGCTCTTTGTTTACAGGATATCCTTTTTTCACTATAATGTCAAGACCAGGCAACAAAAAGATACACCTAGGATCAAAAAACTCAATCCCAAGAATTACCTTACCAACAAATCAACAGAACTTTCTATTCTCCTCCACATAAAAATCCATTTCATATTTCTTAATTTCAGCAGTATAATTTAAAATGAGAGAGGAGTAATTTTATTGCTGTTACATTTAAATCATTGGGCATCAGAAAGCCTTCCTGATCTACTACAACAAATTCAGAAACCACAGGTTTTCTGAAAATTGGTTGTCTGAAAATTGTCTTCACAATTTCAATACCATAATTTTTATACACCCTGTACTTTCTGCTAATTTCTATTTTAGTGTATAAATATTTGCTATAAGAACGTATACATTTATTGTAGTAGAACAATGTTAGTTTAACATGAATAAAGTTATCAGAGGTAGGCCTGGGTAACAACGCAAAAATTTGTTTCTAAAATCGATTCGTTTTTTGGGGTTTTTTGCGTTTCGATATTTAAAAGAATTCCGAATTTTTTTTAAAAAAAAAGTTCGATATTTACGAAATTTCATAAATGGTAAAAAAATTACAAAACAATAACGAAACAATAAAATATTAGTTTTAAATAATAGTTTTAAATGAAAATATTATGAAAATATTAGTTTTAAATAATAGTTTTAAATAATAGTTTACCCGGAAGTGGGGTAAATGCCGACCGCTTGCAACCAGGGAGAGGGGAGGGAAACAACTATAAAACTTGCACCAGACATAAAACTTGCACTCGGCTCAGGTCACTTTGACAAGCTCGCGCTCGCTCTCCTCCCTCTTTTCCCTCCTCCCTACCAACATAGACGCCGCCGAGAAATTTGCATATTCATCAGCCCCGGGATCGGATTGGGAGACAGTCGGGGAAAGACAGAGAGCGAGAGAGACCTAGAGAGAGCGCGCGCGCACCCGCCCCCTCTCTATCCCTCCCTCCCTCCCTCCCTCCCACCCGCGCGGTCGCCTCCGTCTCGCGCACGCAGCGCGCGCACAGCCAGAGATAGAGGCACACATACACACACACGCACACGCACTGAGCTGCTCCTTTAGCCCAACCCTGAGCAAAGAGGGAGAGAGAGAGAGGGAGAGAGAAGAATCGGGTTGCTCCGCTGCTGTTGCTGCGCCTCCTCCTGCGTTTCCTTTTCCCGGCGGGGGAGGCGATCGGGGGAGTCAGCAACCGCAGCGTCGTCGGCCTTGCCGCTGCTGATGGGCGGGGGTCTTTCCCAGGGCGGCGGATGCCAGGGCCCTGCCGAGCGGGCACGCCGGACCACCCCTGCGCCGGGCCGGGCATGTGGTGGGGTGTGCATGCCCAGGTGAGCCGGGAAAAGGGGGAAGAAGGGGGCGGGGGGAGCCAGGGGAGCGAGGGGAGGAAGCCAGGCCGGGAAGGGAGCTTGCTCGCTCAGTCTCTCTCTCTCGCCTGCCTTCCCTTCTCCTTGCCCCTGCTCGGGCCCCTTTGCAGCCAGGAGCTGAAATAATAACGAAACAATTACAAAACAATTACGAAATAGCTTTAAAAATTCGTTTCGTTTTTTAGTTGCTCCTGAATGGTTTGTTATCGCTTCGTTATCAAGAAAAATAACGAATTATTAACGAATTACGAAATTAACGAACGAAACCGCCCAGCCCTAATCAGAGGCAATACAACAGTTTTGATATCCCATTACAGAAAGGTAAAGATTTTCCCCTGAAATTAAGTCCAGTCGTATCTGACTCCGAGGGTTGGTGCTCATCTCCATTTCTAAACTGAAGAGCAAGCATTGTCCGTAGACACCTCCAAGGTCACGTGGCCGGCATGACTACATGGAGCACTGTTACCTTCCCACCAGAGCAGTACCTATTGATCTACTCACATTTTGCATGTTTTCAAACTGCTTACGTTGGCAGAAGCTGGGGCTAATAGCAGGAGCTCACGCCGCTCCCTGAATTCGAACCTGCGACCTTTCAGTCGGCAAGTTCAGCAGCTCAGCACTTTAACCCACTGCACCACCAGGGGCTCCC